CCGCCAGTAAGGCAGCTATCAGGGTGGGTGCCTTAGCGCTTGTCCTGAGCACGGTACCCCGTGGTTGACCCAGTCTCTGCTTTCTTTGGTGCCGCGCACCCTGTCACATGCTTGTTTAGCCCGTCCAACTTTGGTCATCAGCTAGTAGGCGGGGGGTGCCTTAGCACTTGCCCTGGGTCAGGGAATTCCCCACTCAGTGAGAATCCAATTCTGAGGTATCGAGCAACTTGGCTGAAGAAGCTATGTTCCCATGCCCTGAGTAGCGAAAGGCAGACAATATGCACTAGCTACGACGGTCAAACTAAGGTTTTTCTGGCTCAATCAGCGACCCTCTCCAGTCATCTACCCATGGAGACTCCTCGCTCTTCCAATGTTACCTCTCCTCGAGAGCGCGAACCGGTCATGGAATGCCATCTCGCACTTACTGCCCTATCTGGCACGGTCATGAATATCTCCATGAGCGTCGCCAAATTTGATAGATTTGAAGACCTCGAAGACCATGTGGTCGACTACCTTGCCTCAGTGACTGACCTGAAGGCCTTTGGATGCACAATCGATTTCTTGCAAGATGACACGCAAACCCACTTAGAGAATCCAATCTGGGAAAAACTGCAACAGAGCACCGAATACACCATGGTGTTTCATAGCTGCTGCGAAGTCCTTCCCACAAAGGAGATCTTTGAAGGGTGTCCATTCCGAGACATTCCACTCGCTGTCCATGTCCCCATGAATCCGGAGGAAATGGTTCCTGAAGGTGCCTTTGCAGCCGTGCCACGCTTGCGCCACGTCAGCATGGAACCAGGCATAGGTTTGTGGGAGCAGAGGCATGGCAGTGTTGTAGGCAGCTTCGGATAGTCAAGATGCCGGTTACAGTAGTAAGAATAGCAGACAATGCGTTCCGCGGGTGCCAGCTGCTCAACAGCGTTACAGCGCCTGGCTGTATGGAGTTTGGCTACAAAGCCTTTGCAGAGTGCAGCTCCCTGCAGTGGGTCTATGCTATTGAAGGAGTGGCGAACCAATTTTGCAGTGCCACCAAATTTGGGCACTACCTCTTTCGAGATTGCATCAACCTAGCCACGTTTGTCCTGCAAGAGGCTGCTCACCCACAAGAGTTACCAGCTCGAATGAATGCCAGGGAGCTGGCCCAAGGTTGTCTCAGCTCTACTGGGATAGGTACACTTGTGCTCACGCGGGACTTCCAAGTGCTAGGGGCACATGCATGTGACAACTGCAAACTACTGAAGAAAGTCGACGTTTCAAGCACAAAAATTGAAGAAATCCAGGAATTCACCTTTGTGCACTGCACTAGCCTGTGTGAAGTCAGACTGCCATCCACGCTTCATACCATAAGAGTCAAAGCCTTCATGAACTGTGCTGCACTGCCAGAACTAGCCATACCGCCCTCTCTGCACTACATTGCTAGTAGAGCCTTTCTGGACTGCACCGCACTCCGTAGGCTCGTTAAACTCCCAGGCCGACATAAGTGGAGGGGAATATATGCAGAAGAAAATGCCTTTGCCATTTGCCCAGCCATGAGATGGCCGCCGTGGCTACACATGATTCCTGACACAGGTTATGTGTCTGGATTAGCGTAAGGCATGCTTCTCTCACTATACGAGAGTCAGGCCCCGAAAAGCGGATTGAGTCGTCATCCTCGCCTTCATCGTCTGCAATTTTGTAAGCCTATTGGAATGGGAGCCTTAGCTCTTTGCCCGAGATAGGCGGGAGGTAGCAGAGAGGTTGTTGGATGGCGCCCAGGGAGAACCTTAGTTACTCGTCTGCACGAGCCGAACCACAGCCAATCTTGTACAAAGATGGCATAAGTACCATGCTAGGATAGGTCCCTGTTTCACCAGTTTCACATGGGCCATGCATGTTGGCGAATAGTGACTGCAGTGCTCACTATCTGAAGGAAGAGTGAACACCTTCTGCAACCTCTCAAGCTAGCGAGAGGGAGACAGTGGGTGGATGTTGTGCCTCCCCCGCGCGAGGGAAATCAGCACGTCATTAGCAGCCCTTTCGTTGCGATGCTTTCCACTGCCGCATTCGTGATTAGCCTCTATCTTCCGAAAGTGCAATCAGTAGGATGGATTGTGCCACGAAGAGGGAATTTTCCACGGCTTGCCATGCTTTGCAACTGATGACTCTTTGGCATTTGTCATCTGCCAACGGCTGACTTGGCCCTCGTTACCTCTTTTGATGCCGCAAGGTTTCGAGTGCCCACCTACGAATGGCTTGGATGACCTCATCCTTGCCAACGATGCGAGGCCACCTTTGATTGGCTTAGCTGAGCATTCACCTGCATACAGAACTATGCCGCTTTTCGTAGTGAATTCAGGCCCGTAGATATCTTGCAGTTTGTCGATTGTCACCGTTTTTACCTTAGTACAGAGGAAACACTGCCTACATTGGATGGGGGTCTGTGGTGTTTTTTGGTTTGGTTTTGTTTTTGGGGTTTGGTTGGGGTTTTTGTTTGTTTGCTGTTTCTGGTTCCCTCTTGGTCTTTTCTCCCCCTTCAATATGCAGTGTTTCCTATCCTTCTACGATGACCTGGGCACACCGCCCACATGGCGTCCGCACTCGTGAAAAAAAAGGAGTACTGCGGTTTTCCACGGCCAAGCTTCGTTGCCCTATCCGACACGTGTGCCTTCGACTGCAGATTTCCCTAGAGTGGCTATGACTTTGCTACACACCAATGAGCCCCCATCTATAGCTAGAGCACTGATTTCAACAAGTGCTCTTGCACTGGCCTGTTTCTTCAGGCCGGCCGCCCTTCTCTCGTGCAAAAACAAGCTGGCTGAGGAGTGCACGATTTGTTTCGAAGCTCATTCCTGAATTCAGTGCCCAAGTACAAAGGAGTCGTAGTTCAGTCTCACTCTTGTTTCACTCCATATGTACAGCCTTCGAATCTCCTCCTCTCTCGGTTCTGTTTTTTTGTTTTGTTGTTTTTGTTTGGGTGTTTTGGGTTCTTCGGGTGTTTTTCTGCTCCTCTGAGAGAATTTGGAGATTCATACCCTAGTTAAAGATGACCTGTGCGCCATGCACACATGACAAAAAAAACTGGACGGGATTGGTTCCAATGAGGGGCACACTCCAAACTTTCCTTCGTCCTTTGGCCAACCTCAGCAATGACACAGTGAGACACGCCATCTTGGTTGAAGAATTATCAATGGTGCAAAATAAAACGGCCTACACAATGTCAAAACTTAAGACTTTGGCGTGGGAAAAATTTTTTGGCACTCGACACTTCCAGATTTAGCTGTCAAAGCAGCTACATGCAATATGGCAGCTGAGGTCTTGGCAGAACACCACCAGCTTGCTCTTTCTGTGGGTTGGTCGCAGTGGTACGAAGTCACGGTTGAAATACGGGAGGAGAGGAGTGACTGGATGCTGGGTAGGTGTCAAATGGAATTTCAAATGGAGTTCGTTTGATGTGACTGTTTTCCAATCCAGAAGTGTTTTCAAAAGGAAACCCAAATGTGTTTGCTCCTACTGTGTTAGATACTGTTCGCCAACCCAATCTGAGATAGAAAGAAGTTCCTGCTCTTGCAGCGGTGCGTGGCGTCTGCTGCTGCATGATGCTTGCCTTGCCGGTGCCGGTGGACACCGCGGTGCAGGTTTCCGGGGAGTCTGCCCTGGTGCTGTTCGGGTGCACTCTGAGCCGCTGGCTGGTTTTGGTTTCTTTGTTTTTCTTCTCATTTGTTTTTACCATTTGACATTGGTAGCTGTTGTGCAGGCTTTGTGCTCTGACCGATGTTTTTCTTCACGAGGGTTGTTCGTGCCACTATGAGGTTGTGCTACATCGACACCACGTCGCCTCTTTGCCACATCCTTCCGTTGATTGTTTGATTTTCCTTGTTGTCCCCTTTCACCAGGTGTCCGCAACTTACTGAAATTCACAAAAAACGGCACATTTTAATCAGAAGCAACTGGCTGAAGTTGTTCCAACAACGCCATGCATTATCTACCACACTGACGTGAGAAAGCAAGCCTGCACAAGGTCTATCAATAGGCCCAGGCCCAATGGCTGGACGGATTGAACTCGAGTCTCAGACTCTGTGCACTTTTTCCAGTTCTTTTTTGGGCATGAACGTTTCCCCAGTGAAATACTCCACCAATCTGTTCTAAACTGTCAGACCACAGGTACGGCTCGTCTCGAGCGCGGAGCTTTGCCCCTAACATCTGGTCTTTTGGTCAATGTAGACTCTTGATTCTATTTCAACCTCCCAGGGTTGAAGAGGTTTTACACTTCACGGCCCTTTTTGTCCATGCTCACGGTGGGTTCGTCTTCGCTTGGTGTGTTTTGGGACCGTCATGGACCTGGCTGAAATCGTCATCGGAGCTAAACGAGCTTGAATAGAGGTGGAAAATGCTGTGCCAAGGCAAGGAATATGGCATGAACCCGCTTCTGCCAACACCTTTGGGCTTGAAATAAGCTTAGGCAACCAAAAGGTGCGAAGGATTTCCGTATTCCCTTGCAGATCACAGAGTGGTCTTTGGGTCTTTCCTGCCGCCGTGCTCCCAGTGCCTTTTGAAGACCGAACGCGATCGGTCCCGACCGAAGCGCTTGGATGACCTCGCGTGGACGACCAACAGGCGCCGTTCGAACGAGTCCAATGGCCTTGCAACAGGCGCCATTGGCAGAGACGACCTGGCTGATTTCCTATTTTCTCCATGATGGTCAAAGGGGGGGGCTGTTCGCATTTCAGCACATGGCGAAGCGTTGAAACGCTTGCTAGTATTTCATGGCTGAAAGCATTTTCGGCACATGGCGAAGCGTTTCAGCTATAGGTCGTGTTTCTACCGGCTTGCGTTTTGAGCCTTCAAGATGGATGGTGAATTTGAGGAACCACTGAACCACTCACTCAAATCCGAACTTGTTGTTTTTCAACATGCAAGCAACAGTTGAGATGCAAGGAGAAACTATGAAGCAGCTGGCTCATTTTGAGGGGATTATAGTTGGCTTTTGCCAGATGCAATGTGACATTGTTTCTCATGAGGTGAACTTTGTTTTTTCTTTTTTGAATCGAAGAGGATGCAAAGTCATTCACCGAGTGAGTCCAACGGGGGCTCCAAAGCCATGGTTCTCGCACACTGAAGGTGTGCCGCCTTTGCCTGCCTGTACAGAGTCATATTAACACGCAATGCCGATGTGCTTCAAAATGGGTCAGCTTTGCTCCAAGGGCTCCAAGCGGATCGTTTACCAATCACTTCCTGCAAGCAGTGACGAGGAACAGGCAACTGGAGAGCCACCACCTGGTATTCCGAATCATGGTGATGATGACACTTCAGTCACTTCTGAAACGTATCTCTTCAACGCAGATGAACAGTCCTGCTGGAGCACATTCCGTGTCTCCCCTGCCAATGGCGATGGAGCAAGACTATCAGATCTACTTGGGTTCCTGGTCTTGCTGGCCATTTCTACATGTGGCTTTGCGCCCTTCTTCTGGTTGAGTATCGGATTCACTGCCGTTCGCTTGCATTTCATGCAGATTCTTTGGCCCATCCTCGGTTGCCTGGCCGTCCTTGGGCTGATCTTGGCCATTGGCATGCTGGCACCCCGCCACCGAGGCGCCTCGCCGAAGGCGTCGTTGCAGATGAGCTGGAGCAAGACGAAGGCGTTCGTGCTGAATTTCTTGTTGCCATTGTCCGTGACGTATAGCGACCTCTTCTTTGACGTCCGAATGTGTTGGGCGTATTGGTGCAAAGACCACCTGGCAGAGTTCATGGTGAACACTGCGGCCATCGTAGCAGGAACCGTAACGTCCATGATTAGTGAAGCACGACGTCCGGTTTCTCAACATTACAACAGTTGCTTGTCCCGTCTGCCAAAGCCGGCACATCTGGCACTTACTTTTCTACAACTCAAACCTTTGAAAATTCTGTGTGCCGCTTTCTGGGAGTTTCGCAAAGATGATTCGTTTGAACATTGTGTTCAAGAGGAAGGTCTAAACAGTGAGATGAGAGATGTGAGCTTTTCCGAGCACATCGTGGAAGCAATGATCAGCACTTTTCTTGTGCAGTCTCACACGTTGTTGCTGGAGTTGGCAGATTTCGGTTCGCTGTTGTTCTATTCATTGGCCTTTGGCGTGCTGAACTTATCATGGGAATTTGCCACCCTTGACGCTCGCGGGCATGTCAGCGACTGGCACGGGAAGCAAGCCACGGTAGTTGGGTTGGCAGAACCAACATCTTTGGCGTTTGTGGCAGTTTTCGTTTATCGTGTGTTGGCAATCACAAGCCGAATGCTTTTGATCGCTTTGTTCCAATCAATCTGGCAGGAAGAGTTGTCCTACAGAACAGCTGCATTTGGCGGAGCCCTTTTCTGGATGTTCGATTTGATGCTGCAAATTTTGATGGTGTCAATGTCAAGTGAACACACTGACCCGAGCAGATCCAAGTGGGACGCGCTGTGCCACACACTCATCCGAGCATTCCCGAATACAGTCAGTGCCTATGAGCCCTTGCTGATTTCGGCGGAGCGCGCTCTCCTTTCATATCCGATTAACCAGCATGTACCTGTGCTTCAGAAGTCTTGCAGGGTTAAAGCGTGTGTGTATGCTGGGTGTTTTGCCAATGATTGAAAGCAACAATTCGGAGATCAACAGTCATGTCTAAGGGTTCTCGGTTTTAGACACTTCAACAGTTCAACATGTCATGTTCCAAGTCAGGTCCAAACTTCAATCGTTGGTGTTTAAGGAAAGGATGTCGTGCATTCTAAACATTCTCAGTGCGGGGTGTTGCTAAAACACTTCCATGCTGAAAAGTAAATGCCATGGTTTTCTATCTCAGGTCTGAGGTAGTCCAGGAGTTCTACTTCTAACAGATTCTAGCAGTACGACAGGACATGCGTTGAGATGATTTGGTTGGTTTTCAACATGGGAAGGATTGTCCAGCTGGGTGACTTTGTGGTTTGCAGGTTTGCTTCCATGGCATTAGGTGAACCCTAGCCCGCAAGTGGGTCCTAAAGCAGTCCTTTTGTGCATGGGTCAGACCTAAGAAAGATGACGTTGAAAGTGGGTTCTTCCGCCTTGACACCAAGGTGCTGGTTCACACTCTGGAGTTGGTCGGAGTCTTCGCGATGGCATATGTGGCCAAGAAAGACCAAGTCGAAGATATATTCGTTGCTCATGCTTGGGTGTGTTCCATTTTTCTTCGCTGCACACTGCTCCAGTACCTTGTCCTTCTTCTTTGTCGATCTCTTTGTTCTTATCGAATTCAGCCAGGATCGATTCTCATCGGCTGCTTGATCGAGGATGGTGGAGACATCCAGTTGCCGTTGGAGGTCGCTGCATTGGCGCTTTTGGCGAAAGAAGGAAGTGTTCGTGCCGTGGACATCCTCAAAACCAAGCTGAAGCAATTACCACCTCATGTTGTTGCAAGCATCTTGAGATTGCTCGTGCGTACATCTGCAGACAAGGACGGTTTACATGCACTGGCAAACAAACCCGAACTTCACAACATAATTGCACGAGCAATGGAGAAACACATTGCAAGCCCAGAAGTCCAAAAGGCAGCCTGCAGTGCAATCTCCAACATAACCAGGGAGAATTCGGTTCTGAGAACGAATTTCGCCAACAGCTATAGCCATAGCATCATTCTCAGGTTTATGAGGCAGCGGATTCAATCCACATTGACAGATCCGAATCTACACACAGAAGCAATCTATGCCTTGGTGGCGCTGATGAAAGACCATAATCACCTAAAAGAGCAACTCATTCGCGACAAAGCTCTCTCAACTATTCTAGATAGCAGGAAGCTTTTCCGAAGCAGCGAAGCTGCTCAGGAAGCCGCTTTACACTGTTTGAAGACATTGGCTACATGCAAAGAAGCTCAGCAGGAGCTTGCCCAAGTTGAAAAGACGAACATGATTCTGGATGCCATCAGAGAGCACAGGATGTCTGTGGAAGTTTTGCGTCATGCCTTCCATTTGCTTCAGCTTGTGACTGTGTCTAATGAGATTTGTCCGGAGTTACTCGATCTAATAGTGCAAGTTTCAGCTGATCATTTGGAGATGTTTGATGACAAGAATTGTCCCCGGTTCAGCTACTGGTGGCACAGAAGCGAGAACCGAGCAGACGTCCTTTGCAAAGTTTTTGTTGCCCTGAGCAAGTTGTTGGAGAAAGACCCCGAGAAAACTCACGAGATCTACCCAAGACATGTAGAAGAGGTGTTCCGTGTTGTCTTGATGGCAATGCAGCGCCAGTCCCTTGGGATTGACCTGCAGGCAGAGGCTTGCTATGTGTTGAAGACTCTTTCCAAAGATTCCAAGAACCATGCATTTCTGGGAAGCGAGGAAGTGGTGAGTGTCTTGCTAGAGTCTACGATGGATGCGAGACAACAATCCGACCGTAAAAAGGAGCTGGATGTGATGCTTGAGGTTTTCGAAGTGTTTGGCCTCCTCGCGGAGAAATTGGATCCTGCCGATCCTGCCTCCCCCCTTGGATCGCGCAGGATTGAGCTTCGGGATTGCATCACTCACTTCCAGTTGATCAACAAGGATAGTAAGCGGGAGATCCCTCCTGTTATCTTGAGGTTTTGGAACCGATTGGATGCAGCGTGACAGCACAGTGACAGCACAGTGCTGCGGATCCGTTTCCTGGACTGGTAAGAATGGTTAACAGAATGAAATGCGTTTCCCTTTTGCAGAGGCCAAAGAGCACTGTAACTGCTGTAGCTGCTGCGGCTGCTGCTGTGCCAAAACCAACGCTTTTTGAGGTGAATTGGAAGGAAGTGGCGGCCTTCATGTTTGGCGAAACGAATACATACCAAAACGCGGAGACCGTGTGATTTGTGTAACTAGAAACGGAGACCACATGGAGCTCACACAGTTGGAGAAGCTGCAAGTTGAGGCGACTGGAGCTGTACTCGTGTCAAGTACCGTTGCTTGTGAAGACTGATTGTGCCTTTTGAAATGGGAACAGGTCAGTCACTGACAACAATCAGTTTCTCGTGTCACTCTCTCGTTCACTCATGCAATATGTCACAATCAGTCACCCTTGCACAATCAGATTGGCCCAATCAGATTGGCCCAATCAGATTGGCCCAATCACTGCAAATGAATAGATGACACAAAAAATGGGTACACAATGGGTCGTATGCGTCATATTATTTGGAGGACGTGTTGTGTCCGGGTGGCTCAATCAAGCAGCCCAGTAATATGATGAACACAATGTTCCGGACACAAGCTTACTCTGACATCGAGTGGGGTCCATGGCCAACAGTTCTGATCCGAGTTATCCTTTGGAATGTTCTTCCCCCTATGTAGGCCCTAGGCCTCCTTTAATAAGAATTTGAAGATGTTAAGCAGCAGGAATGGTGCTCCCATTACTTCATAGATCGTTCATCTTGAAAGCCATGCATGTGCGCCTAGCTGTGCAGCCTGCCATATCTTAACAGCTGGCTTCTATGGAGGACTTTGCAACTCTACGCCCTGCTGCTTTGTTGTTGAGTGCTCCATTTCAGGAGACCTGATTGGAAGTTCCAGTGGCAACAGGAGGCGAGGTTATTCATGTTCTTGAAATTCATGGGCTGATCATGATTGCAATTCACGGTCCTATTTCGTCTTGACCTTGGAGGCACCAGATGTCACAGGAGATGAATGATGAGGAAGTTGACGAGGTGCCTGAGCATATCAAGCTCTGGCCTTTCCATTGACACCTTTGACATCCACAATAATGTGCCTCATAACCTCCTTTTGGACGCAGCTGCTTCGTTGCCCAAGCTCACATGCCAGAACGACTGGCGGTGGGCGCAGCTAGCGGCACCGTTTCGGCCCTGCTCGTTTCGTTAGCTCAAGGTCTGCTAGCGAACCCTCCTTACCTTCCTGAGGATATCACCTGTTCCTGTCCCACTTTTTGGCCGCCACTTGGATTTGAAAGGGCAGGATTTGAACTGTTTTTGGCTGGATTGCTGCTTGGCTTGCTCGCTGGACCTTTGCTGGACATAGCGTGGGTGGTGCGAGATCGCTGGCGGCGACTGATCCTCGGATTGCTCACTGGGGGCCGCTCGGTACGTGCACCTGGCTCCTACCGTGTTTTGCATGAGTGACCGTGTCTTGGATTCCTTGCAGGAACTCAGATCGGATCTTGGTTCCGTGACTCGGCAACTCACTGCCATCACTGAGCGCCTTGGATCCCTCCAGCTGGAGGTAGAAGAGAGTGCCTCGGATAGTTTTACGGTGGTTTCGTCTAGGGTTGAGGTTGAAGAGCCCCCCATCACTGTTGCTCCAGAGAATCGTAGTGGATACCCCTTGCAAAGTCCCTCTTCGTCGGTGCCTGCTCCCTCAGCTGGAGAAATTGGCCGTCCCCAGAGCTGGGAAGAACGTGAAGAGATCGCTAGGCAGGTGGGCACATTCCTTCGGAGGGCTGTTGGTGGAGAGATTCGAGGACCCAGCGGCAGAGATAGGATCAAGCAGCCTAGCCGGTACTACGTGGTGTGCCGAGACTTCAGTGGGAACACTTTTACCCACCCTGTCAAGGTGTACACTCGCTGGCTGGGCGTGAAGAGTATTTGTTCCTCCAACGGAGATTTTGGGAACTCGGTCTTTGTTGGCCTCCCTTCATTGAGAGAGGTGCGAGCGGCGATTGCTGGTGCGGGATTCACGGGGCCCGACGAGGGCCTCCATGCTGGCTGAGGGCATCGGCGGAGTGGCCCGCACTGATCATCTCCCGCCGGCCGACGGTGGAGAAGAGCAGGGCGTTGAGGCTGAGCGAACAAGTTCAGCCTACCTTGTCCACAGTGCTGGACACACGGAATTTCACTACGAAGTCGGAAAAGTCATTCTTTCTGACGAAGCATCTACTTCAGCGATTGTTCTAATTGCTGAGCAAGACAACAATACCTTTTGTGCGATCCCATTTGAGGTCTGGCATCGCCGAGTTTCATCAAGACTGTTCATTGGCAGGGGCCTGATCCGTCCCATACTATGCTCAGTTTCTGCATGTCATCCAGAGGCTCGAGAGGAGCCCGAAGAAATGTTACAGTTGAAAGTATGGATTGGCATTCTTTCCCAGGAGGCTTTCGATCGAGTAGAGTTTGGAGCAGAAGATCTCCCAGACTATCCGTTCACAGGTCCGGGCTTAGAAGATGGCTTCCTTCCCTATGCCCCAAGCCTTGTCGAGGTGATCCAGGAGAAGTTCGCCTTCATGAGTGCGGAGTCAGGTGGGCTCGAAGTTGGCGGAGGAGGAGACGATGTGAGCGGCCGTTTGAGCCGTCTAGAGGATGGTCTTTCAGAGATCCGACTATTCCTGAAAGAGTTGTCCAAAGGGCCCCAGAAGAATGCAGGAGCCTCATCTCCCAAAGAACCCGCTGTTGGAGATACTTCAGCTTCACCCTCAAAACGACCTGGCGCTCTCAGGCGAAAGGAGGAAAGACGGGTCACCTTCGAGGGCTTGGACCCGTCTGTCACCGATGCTGCTCTTCGTGCAGGTATTCCGGAGGGCCATTTGCGGGAGCTGTCAGGGCTTTTGAAACAGAGACCAGGGCGCATGGAAGATCTGCCTCGACCTTCTGTGAAGAAGACGGACCCCCTTTCCGACTCAGGGGAGGAGGAAGAAGAAGCTCTGGAGGAAGGCGAAGCTGGCTCTCACGCAGGCTCCTCGTCGGACGGTGGAGTAGCCAAGGCAATTGTGAAGCTCACCAAACTCTGCAGCCACCTGACGGACAAGAAGGCCCGGAAGAAAGGCGACCAGCTAGAACACCTCTTGGACTTGGGTCATGGAGGCGAAGGAGGAGGCGAAGGATCTGGTTCGGGCGGCCAAAAGAAGGCGGCCGCTTTGAGGCTCTTGAGGAAACAACTAGCAGAGAACCCTCGGCTGATCTTCGAGAGCATAGAATCAAATCTGTGCTCAGACTTTGCTGCCAGGCCCGTTCGTCCTGGGGAACCCCGCTCAGGAGCTACTGCGCGGGGTTGGCTGGAAGCGAGATCTCGGGTCCAGAACTACACGGGGCATGTGAGATGGTGCTGGCAGATAGCAGGGATCTGGGACTGCCTGATGGCGGACCAGGTGGAGCAGGCCAGAGCTCGTTGTGCTTTGCTCCTCAATGCCGCGGACCAAGCATCAGTCGACTCGGGCTCGTGGTTGCTGGCTCAACAGGTGCTTTTGGAGGGTCCTCCACCCTATCACTCGTTCAGCTCCCATCAAGCCCCTTCAGTTCACGAAAGACATCATACAGCCCTCTTGGACACTCGTTGGTTGGACCTTTTCCTCCACCACATCAGGGAGCTCGACAGCTACCAAGAGGCCAGACGACGCCTTGGAGGCCGGGTCGGGCGAGGAGACGAAAAGGACAAAGAAGTGGAGAAATCTCCCAAGAATCCAAAGCCGAAGGCCAAAGGAAGCCCAAAAGGGAAAGGAAAGAACGCCAGCTCCAGCGCGGCGGAAGAGAAGGAAGCGTCGAGCTGAGGACTGGCGAGAATGCCAAGAATGAGAGCTATCCTCTCTCCGACTCGAGGGTTGCTTTGTCATCCAGTTCCTTGAAGAAGAGTTGGAAGAATTCAATGCATATCCCCGGAACTCGAGCCGGCGTCTACCTCGCAAGACAGTGTTTCAATAGTTGCCTTCGCGTGGTCCTGAACAGCAGATGCCGACTTTCGAGGTTCGCCCTTTCGTCACTAGGCCTCGTTCCTAGCCTTTCTGCACAAGGAGAGGTTACAGATGAGCAGCCAAGTGGGTTCCCCTTGCCTTTACCCTACCCTGAAGCGCTTCGGAAGCGTTGGAGGGCAGAAGCTAAGGAAGTATCGCGGAAAAAGATGATCAATACAGTGGTGATCGCTTTGAACTACACCACTTTGGGGAGAGCTTCGAGTTGTCCCCCATCCTTGTTTCCGGGTAGGCCTCTGACTTCTACCCAGTGGGGTATTGTCCGCCGCTTGGAGGCCTTCTTGGAGGAGTGGTTGGAAGCTGGAGAGGTAGGGCCGGAGTCGATGGGGCGCGCAGCCCCAAAGATTGAAAGCATTGAGATGGCCTTGCAAGTTCTAGGTGAGAGAGTTTCCTTTTTAGCAACTGGTCTGAAGAACGACTATTTTGGACCTGGCAAGGAAGGATTGATGCAAGGAGGCTTTAGCAGTGATGTTGGTGAGGTGGTAGGTCAAGGGAATGGAGCTTCTTTTTCTACTTTCAAAGAGCTTGTTCCTTCACGTCTCCGCTTTGTTGGGACCCCGAACTTTGACCCGCTTCCTTACCTGGACCCTGCCGGGGCCTCAGTCTATGCTCATCCGTTGAAGTGCAGAGTTCAGCCCGAAGAATTTGAAGGAAGAGTCCCCGTAGTGAAGATGCATTGCTCCTTCGACTCGAAGATCAAACTGTTTGAGTTGTTGGATAGCTGCAAGCGATTGAAACTGGCCACCAGACATGAAGTTGATCCCCGCTTTGCTAGCGGGATGTTTGCGGTGATCAAGAGTCTGGAACAAGATAGGTTGATCATGGACTCTCGCCCAGCAAACGCACTTGAAGTCCCTCTTGAAGGATGGATCAAATCACTAGGTTCAGCTGAAGCTTTGACAAAGCTCTACATCCCCGAAGGCTATGACATCGTAGGTTCTGGGTCTGACTTGAGAGATTTTTATCATCTTTTTAAGGTCTCCGACGAACGAGCCAGACGAAATGTCCTTTGCGGTTCTGTCCCTACACATTTGTTGAGACACCTGAATTGTTTTGAACCGGCAATGTCTTCAGAGCCCTTCCTCTACGGTTGCCTGGCTACTCTGGCAATGGGAGACACCCAGGCCGTGACCTTGGCGCAGACAAGCCACCTCTCCTTGGCCCTCCGCTCCGGGTCAGCTGCGCCCAGCAACTTGATCACGTTGGGGGGGCCTATTCCGAGAGGGCCTGACTTCGTGGGCATTGTGATTGATGACTACGTAGCCCTAAGCTTGGTGCCGAGTGGTGCAAAGGGTGCTTCCAATGGTGCTGCTCTCTCAAAAGCAATGGAGACGAAGTATTTGGAGGTAGGGCTGGTTTCTCACCCAGAGAAAGGTTTTGAAGATGACTCCAAGCCTAGTTTTTGGGGTGTGGACATTGACGGCCAGAAGGGTTTGATTAGAGGCACCCTGAAGAGAGCTATCCCTTTGTTTGGTATTCTTCTGCAAGTGGTGAAGCTCGGGTACGTCTCGGTGGATCTTTTGCAGGTTATTTCGGGTTCTTTGATATCGCTCTTCTTATTTCGTCGTCGATTGTTTTGCACCCTGGACTTAGTGTTTCAATGCTGTGTGGGGCGGAAGAAGGAGGACATCATAAAGATGAGTGGAGCTTTGAAAAGCGAGTTGATGGTCTGTGCTTTGCTGATCCCCTTTGCCTGCACGGACATGAGAGCTCAACCCCGAGGCAGAGTCTGCGCCACCGACGCTTCAAACTGGGGCGAGGCCGGCGTGGTGACTGAAGTGGACTCGAGTGTTTGCAGGGAGCTGTTAAGGCATTGTTTGAGCAAACCCACATGGACCAAACTATTGCCCCCTGGGAAAGCCTGGGAACGTGCTATGGGTCTTCTACCTCCAGAACTCGAGCTGCCTGAGAAATCGTTGAGTTACAAAATGAATCCTCTCTGGGAGATCTTGGCTCGAGCTTTTCAATACAGGCTTTTGTTCAAGCGAAAGTGCAAGAGACCGCGACACATCAACATTGGAGAGCTGCGTGCATTTTTGAAGGCAGAAGTCGCTCTGGGCCTAGAGCTCCCTCGGTCACGGGAGATCTTCGGGTTGGACAGCCAAGTGGTTTTAGGTTGCCTTGCAAAAGGACGATCTTCGTCCCCTTGCCTGAACCGAGAATTGGAGAGGACGCTTGGGGACGTGTTGGGGCTTTCGCTTTTTTCCGAGACTGTCTACTTTGAGACTAGCCGGAACCCTGCGGATGATCCTACTCGAGGGCAACCGGTGAGGGCTGCTGACATGTCCTTGCCCCCTTGGTGGAATGATCTCACCCTTGGACGATTTGAGAAATTTGATGCATGGCTATTTTCGGAGGGCCTGGACGGACACAGATTGTCAGGGCTCCCATCTTTCGATGAGTTGTTTTTGGCTGAGGACGCACAGACCTTGGCTGCGAGGGGATCTCTAGATGGCTCCCCCGACCCTTCTCAGATCTCCGCTGAACACTTAGGTGGAGTTGAGCCGGCTGAGAGAAGCCCTGCTTCGCCGACACCATCTTCGGACACACAGCTGCCTGGAACAAGGGAACGCTTTTTGCACCTAGACTCCGGTGTGGCTTACTCTTCGAATAGCTTCGTTTTCAATGGTTTGTTCGGTGTTGTTGACGGCACCGACGGAGAGTTCGTGATGAACTATTTTGAGAAGATCTGGACTAAGGGACATGTTCTGACTGGGAAAGACTTTGCTTGGCCCCCTATTGCTCCTGGCTTTTTGGACCTCTTCTCTGGGTCGAAGGGAGTTGCGAGCTGGCTCCTTCGCTTTACAGATTCTTGGGTAGTCACATATGAACTTGAGGACGGACCTGACCAAGACCTGGATTCAGAGGAATGTCAGAAGGAACTGATGCGGCTCCTCGCCCTGGGAGTTTTTCAGAGCTGGGGAGGTGGGCCGGTGTGTCGTTCGTTTTCACGAGCAGTTACCCCTGCAGTCAGAACAAGAGAACATCCTTTAGGTCTGGAGGACATGAGGATTTCGATGCGTGAGAAAGTTCAACAAGGCAACAAAAGTGCAGACTGGGTGTGCAGCCTCATGGAAGTGAGCCTACTGTTGGGCATTTTCTTTTGGGTCGAAAACCCTGATGGCAGTTTTATGTTCCTCCTTCCTAGATGGGCCAGCCTAGTGGAAGAATGGATGGGAGAGCTGGGCAGCTGGCGCCTCGACTACTGCAGATTTGGTGCCGCATGGCGAAAGAGAACAAAGATTTTGACTAACTCATGCCTCAAGCCTCACAGCACTTTGTGTTCACGGGACCATCAGCACATTCCTCTTCGCGGTCGCTCGGCCTTTCATCGAAAGAGCTGGACACTGCTAGCGCAAGCTTACCCTAAGCTGGTAGCAAAAACGATCGCAGGGGGTATCGCGACAAGCTGTGGATACCTAGAGGAACAGAAAGGAGGTTTCGATCCGAGCACCTTCGCCTTCTGTCAGTGGAGGAGAATTGGCGAGGCGAAGAATCCAGGACCTAGACCTGCAAGAACCCTAGAACTAGATGAAGTTAGGTTGATCGAGGCAAAGACTGCTCAGCTCCAAGGCAAGATCTGGAAATGGTTCCTCACTTGGGCTGGTGAATCTTTGACGCCTGAAGCTCTCGAGTCTCTGACCAGGGACCCGATGACCTTGAGTGTTTTGATTAAGGAATTTGGCTGCCACTTGTTCAAGGAGGGAAAGTCTCTCTACGTCTTGCGCCACTTGGTCGTCCTTGTTTCTAAGCAAGTTTTAGGTATGAAGCCTTTCCTTGGACCCTGTTGGGAAATTATCAATAAGTGGGAGGAGATCGAACCTCCTCGCCATCGAACGCCGCTTCCGATAGCTTTTTGCATGCCATGGTGACAGTGGCCTTACACTGGGAGTGGAACAGATTCGCTGGTGCCATTTTGATCTCTTTCTATGGTATTACCAGGCCAGGAGAAGTTTTGAGAGCCTCAAGATCCGACCTATCCCTCCCTTCTGACAGGTTCGCTTCCGGAGGAGCTCCGGGGTTCCTGAGAATCCGGACGCCCAAGAGCCGTCACAGGGGAGGAGCTCGCGTGCAGCACGCAACTATTCTTGACGAAGGAGTGGTTGCGTTCCTGGAGGTTCTTTTCAAACACTCACAGCGACGAGCTTTGCTGTACCCGATCTCCCCCTCTTCTTTTAGAAGACGCTGGGATAAAGTGTTGGAATTTCTTGGCATCATGAAGAGTGAAAAGCTTAGTCCCGGCTCCTTAAGAGCCGGAGGAGCTATCGAAGAGTACCGGAGGGGTACTGATTTGACTCGCCTGTTGTGGAGGATGAGACTGCGGCATTTGATTACTCTCGAACATTATGTACAAGAACTCGCTGTAGATTCCTTCATTGCTGATTTAGAGCCAAACACAAGGCGGAAGGTGTTTCTTTTTGCGGAGCTTTTTCATCCTACTCTTTCAGTGGTTGCTGCCCAAAGGGACCGTCGTGACGGCATGTTCTGGCCATGAAGCTTGTTGGCTTGCGCGGTTCAGTTGACCCTGACCGGCCTTGCTCCAGAGTTGGATTCGAGTACTCGTCTTGGTTCTGTTTCATGCAGTGGCTCTCCTCTTTTTGCCCTGCTTGGCTGAAACTCGAGCCACACTTTCGAGACAACTTCAGAGGCCAGTGACAAATGCAGCAGGAGTTCGAGTGCTTTTGCGGTAGAATGGAGTGTTATGTGCCTCATAACCTCCTTTTGGACGCAGCTGCTTCGTCCCACCCCGAGGCATGCTCGTCCCACCCGTGGATTCGAGTACTCGTCTTGGTTCTGTTTCATGCAGTGGCTCTCCTCTTTTTGCCCTGCTTGGCTGAAACTCGAGCCACACTTTCGAGACAACTTCAGAGGCCGGTGACAAATGCAGCAGGAGTTCGAGTGCTTTTGCGGTAGAATGGAGTGTTATATATATAATTCAAGATGGCCAAGGATGCCACAGCTGTCGGAGATTCCTAGCCGGAACACGCTGAGAAAGGGTTTTGGTTGTTATCCTGAACAACTTCAGTGATTTTCCTTGTTGCTTCAGCATCTTCCCAGGGGTATACATCACTAATAGCTGCAAGGCCACGAGTGCAGCTTTTTCGATCGATCGACGGGATCGTCATCGTGTGCTCCAAACTAAATGTGTTGCTGTGGGGGTTCAGGACTTTTGTTTGTGAACACAGTGTTGTTGGATGATAGGTGTTTTTGGTGCTGATTGCCCTGCCTCTATCCCTCACTTTGCTAATTTGACATGCTAGAGATGTTGAAGTAGGCTTTGAGATAAGGCCCTGATTTTGACGTTCTTATGTTTGACAAGCTCCGTTGTCCGTCTTCTCCCAAGAAATAGTCACACTTTTTCATTTGACTTGAGCGGCGCTCACCCTCCCTTCCCTTCGGCATACCAGCATTTGAATTGAACCCACGTATATAGTTTCCGACACCTCAACGCTTTCTTGAACCCTAGCTTCTGGGCGTTCTGCTTTCCAGCTGCAGTGGCCATCGTGGTTTTAAATCGCCGCCCCGCCCCACACTCCCTGCGTCACCGGCGCGCGACCGCCACCGCCGTCCCCGCCGAACGCAACCGCGCTCCCGTTTGGCCACTGCGGCTTTCCACCGTTCTCTACCGGGTGGGTTCTCTTGTGGCTATGAATGCAACGGTGGTGCAGCGTTTCATCTTGTTTTTTTCTCCAACATTGGAATTCAAGGACTTGATGCAAATCTACGTCGTGCTGACACTGTTTGGGGTCGGTATGATTGGCGAAGCTTTTTCTCCGTTCCTGGATGGAGTCGACCTGATCAAACAGGTCGATGGCGGTTGAAAACGACAGGAATCCTTGAACACCCACCACCACCCACAAAGTTTCACTCTTCAATTTCTACACATGCTTGTAGCTTGGCACTTGGACATGTGGACATCCTTGCTCAAGACGAGCCATGTTGTCCCAAAGGCTTCTCCGTGCCTTACATATTCTTCGGACACTTTAGAAGCCATTTCGTGCAAAGATGTTGTGGAGGGTTTTCTTTGGGTTTGCGACTGTGTTCCTCAACTTCAGAGGGCTCTTGTGGCCCCGACGAGCCTGCGCCAAGGAGCAAGGCGCCAAAGTCACTCTGTGACAAGCAACAGAGAGTGCGTGCATGGTGGATCGAACAGCATGTTGGACGAACAGTAATCGCCGATCGCTACTTTTGCTATACCTTCTCTGCAAGTGCTGTTTGGATTTACTTTTCATTGCCGACAGCACAGCAGTTACCCAATAATTGGTCTCGCTTGTTCTCGATTGTAATACTCTTAAGATCGACAAGATCGAGCCTGAGATGCTATGGGGTTCTTACTTCAAACAAGAATGAGCCGGCTGTGCGTGCTTGTGATTGTCACTGTTGCTACATTCTCTGCAAGTGCTGTTGATGCAACGGTGATACTGAATTGCTCTACAATTGCTGCTTCGATCAACTCTCACTTGAAAAATCCTCCATGGTCGCCCTCCTGATGAGCCCCCTCCGATAAGAAAGGTGCCAGAGTCACCGGAGTCAGGGAAGTACGACTTAAGCTGTGAGTTCAAGTGATGCCTTTCATTCTAGAATTCTATTTTGTTGCAGACCATCCTGTAGGCACCAGGACCAGTTCATGATCATCCTCCTGATGAGCCCCGTTTTGTTGTGGCATTGTAGACACCACAGCACTTTCCAATATATAAATTAGTCTCGCTTGTTCCTTCATTGTAATACTCTTAAGATGGACAAGATCGACCCTCAGTTGCAGGCATGCGTCTCCTTTCCATGGCACTTTGCAAATGCAAGCAATCGAACATTACACCTTGACCTTTGTTGGACAAAGTACCGTTGTTGATTGGCTGTCGACCGCCCTCCAGGCACCAGGGCCAGGAGGACTTCATGGTCCTCACAACCCTCCACCGGCCCGGGAACCATCACAGAAACTGTCAGAACAAAAAAATATCCAAATTTGCGTCCAGTCATCATTCAGAGAATGCTGGAGATTGGTGTTGTTCTGTTGTTTCTACAACAGACTCAGTTTGCGACTGTGTTATGCCTGAAGGTCAGAGGCGCTAGGGCCAGAAGGCTCACACGGCCCCGACGTGCTTGTGCCAAAGAGCAAGGTGCCAAAGTCACGCTGTGACAAGCAACAGAGAGTGCATGCATGGTGGATGGAACAGCATGTTGGACGAACAGTGATCGCTACTTTTTTTCTTCAGCGTTGGAGGTCCACTCCTATCTCTGATTTTACCCAGCATTTGTTTAAAGGTATTTGTTTCCGTCACAAACACCTGTTGAAACCTACTCAACAGCTGTATGAACATGGTGAGTGTAAAGGTAATTCACCTGCGGCCCACCTCTTTGGTGGTCACCTCTTGAAACATTTTGCTTGCCAACCTTTGCCTCTTCAACACCCACCTGGCTTCAACCACTCCGGTGTTTTGCGAGACGTTCGCGGACCGGCGTGACCCGTCCAGCGTGACCCGTCCGGCGTGGTCGGTCGCGGAACCGGACAGAGGAAGCTGCTGTGAATCTTGAGTACGTGGAGATGTGTGTACAAGGTTCCGTCGCGGTGTTCAAGAAAACCCAGAAAGATCCAAGGAGAAAGATAGAACCAAGAAATTCCTGTCCATGAGTGTGCCAACGCAGTTTTGTTTCCAAGGGTTCCTCAAGTGGAGGACAGTCATTTGCTTTTTCTGCAGTTGCTGTTGCCCCGGCCGACAGAATGTTTTGGGCGGTGGAAGTGCGTATTATTGTACCTCTTGCTTGGAATGCGCACAAACACCATTCATAACTTTGACCTCTTCAGTGTCTTCCCCAATACATTGTGAAATTACTTTTTGGCTCTCAATATGTTTTAGGTTCATGCGTGAAACCGTGCGTGAAACCTGCAAACCGGGCTGTTCCGTCAACGTGCAGTCACATTGTCGCCTTTGTCTACTCACCTAGTGGCCGCTCCACATACTATCTGAAGCCATCTGCTCACACTCAATCTAGCTTGTAAAAAACCTTTCCTAGATTTTTTGCCCGGACGTATGATCAAGTCCGCTTTCCAAACGAAACGATCGCAGAATCGTTTGAACACGCCTCTGTGTGTTTTTGATCACTCTTGCCTCGTTGCAACCTTTCAAGACGAAACGATTCGCAGATCAGCCACTAGATTTGACCTTGATTTTAACACAACTCTGTTTTCTTTTCTTTGGAAGTTCTGTCTTGTTTTGGACTTTGTGTAACTCTGTTTTGTTTTGTTTACTTGGCTTAAAGCTCTTTTTTTGCTCGGTTAGCTCGAAGCAGTTGCAGTTGCAGGATGTGAAGTCCGAAGAGCATGGTGACAGCCTGAAGTCGGGGAATGCAAAGAGTCCGAGCACGTTTTGACGTTTTGTTTGGCAGGGTTTGGCAGGGACACCCGAGCTGTGGAAGGCAGTATATGTGGAAACACATCTGCAAATCTGCAGGTGCGCAGGCATTGCAAGAAGCTGACGTCCAGAGCGGCATGAAGCAAATTCTTGAGATGATGAAGAGTCACACAGAGGTGGGCTACCAACTTGTGACACATGAACTTGACTTGACAAATTGGCCCTCTTCATACGATGCGGCACTGACGTGCAATGGGTGCGCCGCGCGCGCCTTTCAAGACACACACCATTAACATGTACACAAATCATTTTATTGCACCAAAGGCCTTTGATTACACGTTTTAATGAAGCCACGCTAGCTGAAGCTCCATAGAACCCTGCAAGAGCTGGATCATGGCGGTGGTTTGCTGGATGTACGGATGTACTGGTCGGACCTATACACTCCAGCGATGCTGCGTGAGAATTTCAGCCTATGCTGAGAGCCGAAATCAACCTGTGGGTAAGGTCTTGCTTGAATACGATCTTTGTCTTTTGCTCACCAGCACCAGTTTCAACAATTCTGAAGGTCTTATAACAACAAAACAAATGATAAGGTCATCATTCAGGAGCGACTCAATTTTCTGGTCAGTTGTCCCACGGTCGTTCCCTTGTTTGCGTGGTGCCAGGCAGCACCAGGCAGCAAGGAGTTGCGCGATCATGGTAGGGGGCCAAAGGTTTTGGAAGCATTTGCATGGCACCATTGCCTGTTTGAGGAAGAATGCCTGAGCGCCTCTCTAGCTTGTGCAGTTTGGCATTTTTCCGCAGGCTGGACGCCGGTGCATGAAGCTGCGCTGTTTGGAAGATCTTCTTGCCTGCAGTGTTTGCTTGAACACGGTGCCAAGAAGGTGGGACGAATCATGAAATGGCACATGGTTTCAAATTAAGAATCAAGAATGAAAGGAATTCTGGGAGAGATCAACATCTATTTTTGAATTTTGTGGAGGACATACAATCTCATGCTGGTTCCGCCCTCAAGATTTACAACGGAGCAAATCAGTAAAGGCATAGCCACAACAGGTTTGATTCAGGCTGGCCGATGCTTCCTCCAACCCTTGTATGCCTCCTGCAGCACAAAAATGGGTCCATGGCCAAAACCACCTTTCCCACTTCCTTGTGCTGCAATTGACGAACTCCAGTGAGAGTGATAAATCTAATGATCAAGTGGATGAGGCCTGGCAAATCGCGAACCCAGCGCCAGCTAATGCTGGGAGGCCACCACGATTTCCTGTGATTTACAAGACGAGTTCACGCTGGCTGCACGTCGATTTCGTGTCAGGCCTGCGGCGATCTCCGTTCGAGCCCCAGTCTTGAACTGGCTTTGCATTGGTCCGAAAGCCACTGCCAAAGTGCAAAGCCACTGTCACTGCTGAGAACTTGGTGTTTAAGAATGTTGGCTTGTACTTTGCATACGTTTCCATAGTCCTTTTCAAGCATTGTTGCAAAGATTCCAGAAAGGTCTTTCCACCATTGCATCAAGGCAGGCTCGAGTTGTTTGCACTTTCAGTCTAAGAGCGAAGTGCTCTTGAGATGAATCACAAAGATTCGTGAAATTGAGGTGCTCCAGAGATTTAATGCCTCAAGTTATTGACAAGTTTAATGTTTCAACATGTCACATCGTTGTAGAAATAGAAGATTAAAGACAGAATGGGCTTGGGCGTACAGGGATCTACATTCACCACGGCGTGCCAATGGCGTCCAAAACCGAGTTGGCAACGAGGCCTGCGCCAGAAGTCCCAGAAGAACGCTGGGTGATAATGCTCGGACTGAGTCAGCATGGGAAGTCAAAGTTCCTTAAGCAGTGTGCCCAGATGCAAGGCCATCAAGATGCTTTGGCGCTAGAAGGAAATGGTTTCAAGAGCACAACGAGAGTCGTGCGTTTGCACCCCTTGCATGCAAATGGCGAACCAACACACTTGTTGATGGCCAACAAACTGCCTTCAGCTTTGGATCCTTTCCAGCATTCCACGATTGAGCAGTTCGTTGAAAGCGCAGGCAGAGATCGTGGAGAATACAAAGCAGGGATCAGACGGGCAGAGTCTAGATCCATGGGTCTTCCGGCCATCAAGGCATTGGACACGCCTGGTTTGGAAGACGACCAGGGTGAGGATGACAAACATATCGAGAACACATTGAAGGAAGTCATGAGGATGGGCTCGTTGTCTGGAGTCGTGTTGGTGTCCAAGTGTGGCGAGCCAATCACACCGAATTGGAAGCAACATGCCTATCGATACTGGAGGCTGTTTCCCATGTTGCAAGCGAGATGGATAGTTGTACACACTCATGCAGATCCGTTTGCTAGAGGCAACCCATCCTGGTCTGAAATGTCCTTCGCGGAGTTGTGCCACACACTTCAAGAGCAAGTCACGAAGGCAATGGAAGAAGTTACGCAGACAACCTTCCAGGCCACCCACATTTTTGTCGAAAACATGTTCAAAGAGAGGGACGAGGCTCTCAAAGCTATGTTTGTTGAGGCCATGAATTCTTTCCATTTGGCTATTGCGGCCTTTGAACCGATTCCGATTGGCAATCTCTTCTTTCAAAAGAGTGAGAAGCAAAGGGCGATTGACCAGCGGTTGAAGACATACCTGGAAACAAAGAACGACGGTTTGAAAGCTCGCAGTGCAGAACTTCAGAGAGAACTCGTCGATGAACTTGAGCCGGATTGTGAGTGTTTGATGATCGAATGCGCTAAGCTCCAGGCTGATGTCGAATCGCAGGAGGAGAAATTGCAGGACATCAAGTCGGAAGATGAGATGGTAGCTGAGTCAGTAACTGTTTGGAGCAAGAGCCAAGGGTGCTTTAGCTATCCCAGAGCTCATGCCACCTTCAGGCTGGAAGGTCGGTATTGCTGCGTGGCCACGTTGAATGGGAATCCGAAGTCTTGCTTCAAACCTTTGCAAATTGAGTATCAGCAGATTACCCCATCTTCTGGTGAGTCCCAAGCAAATATCATGGAGGTTTGCGTTGTCGGTCACTGTTTGCTTTGTCATTTTGGCTGCACAATCTCAGTGACATGCAAGAAGAAAGACTTCTACAAGAATAGAATCCCCATCGAGACAGACAAACTGAAGCGATTGAAAAGCTCGCAGGAATTCAAGAGAGACCGGCTTCATGTTTTGGAACCAGAAGTTCAGAGGCAACGTGGTGCGATTCTGAGCAATGACCAGGAGCAACAGGTAGTGAACAACATGTTGCACCTACTAAAGAACGAGTGGACTTTGAGTACCTACAAGACCTTCCACTATTTCTATAGTTTGCCCGTAGAGCCTGCAGTGGAAAAGTTTGTAAGCACAGCTTGTCATGAAGCGAAGCTGCAAAGCAGCGCTTGCTGAGAATTTTCGTCACTAATGTGTCGGACATGGAATGAGATTGTGCACGAATCGCTGCTTCGAAAAGTGCCCAAGTTCATTGGGCTTAAAGAGGGCAATGAGCACACAGCTTGATGTCAGTGATTGATACGCCATTGCCCTCCCAGGGACTGATACATTCGTGAGGTTTGCCCTGATGCATGCGTGAGGTCGCCTGATCCAATCTTGCATTTGAACTATAACAAGCAATATTCGCAGTTTTTCTTGTTGGACTAAACAAGTGAAGGAAAGGAAAGACATGAACACACTCCTATCAATAGTTGAGCAGAACGTGTTTAGTCAATTTCAATCAATGTCTCTGTTGGGTTGAACTGCAGGCTGGAGGCCAGCCACGGCAGTGGTCTGCAAGCAGGTTGCCACCTTGAGGTCTCATCGATCACTCTATCTATAAGAATGGGGGGAGCTCAGATGGATCTGGGATGAAGCACTAGAGTGGGTTCTTGGAACATACTAACATACCACAAGTTTTGTCTGAGGGAGTGTGATTCAAGCCTGACTCCAAGACTCAAGACCATTTCCATTTGGAGGCTTCGAGATTTGCTTTGAGGCCTTGGTGCTTCTTCAGAGTTGGTTCCATCTTCGCAGCCGCTCATGTTTGATTCCCAGTCCTGGAATGGCTGAGTCAAGGGGGCCTTGCATTGCTAGAAGCAGCTTGGTCACGAAAGTTGCAGTAGTTGATGGTAGCAAACGAAACAGGTTACATTATATAGCTATAACCCTAACTTGGGCATTTAAAGCGTCTTGTTCGGAGCTAGGCCGGAAGTTTCAGCTTCCTGCAAAGAGGCTGCAGCGTTCTGCATCAAGTCGATATTCTTTCATGTAAATCGGTCAGCCTATCAGGCCCTATCGAATGATTTGTGATGTTTTATCGATTAAATCCATTGGTCCTGGAAATGCCCGCGCCACTTTTTGCTCGAGGCATCTTCCGTCAAAGCATAGCCGTGAAATTGCTGTTGTCATGACTTCGCCCATTGAAGACCGGAACATCATCCTATTGGG